CTAGTAGGGTAGGTACGTAATATAAGTAAGGTATAGTAACACGCTAATCATCGTATTACCGGCTATTCGTCCAACTGCCTAATCGTCTATTCAAGTATCACGCTAATATACGTAATCATAAAACAAGCGTAGGAGCCTCTGATTGGCTCGGACTAACTAATTCCGATTTATCCTTACTAGCTTAACGGCCCTTCGTTCCTAGAACCTACGGTAGGTACGGTAGTGACTGGAATAACAGACCGGTCACTCGTCCTCTTCTGCCTCATCCTCAGCTCTGGCCAGCGGTGGTCGAGCACAACTATCGGACAAAGGCATGGACAGAAACCACCGGTTCAAAAGTGTCATTGCCCGGACCTTATCGTGGCTGCGGATAACGATCAATCCGTGAATTCCACAGGCCGTTAGACAATGTCAAATCAGCTGGTTGCGATATCACGAGCTTCAGCCTTCAGGGCCAGGTGGAGACACCATCACACCCATGCCCGACTTGGAGGCTTGCCAAGGGGTAACCTTGCCATTGCCAAGAGATAAGAAGTCCTTCCCTGACCAATAACGTCGAGGCGTATTGTGCTCCTTTGGGACTAAGACCGATTTAAGCGTGGCCGTTGCTGTTCTCTCTGACGTTCAATGAATGACAGAGTTCGATCTTCACAATCTTTGACCGCAAAGATGATGAACGGAAAACCTCTTTATCAACGACGTGGCTAACGACTGACGAGATTGGAAATGCCACCAACTGGAGCGAGGGATTCTCTAGTTACTCGGAACATTGCGGGCGCCAACTCACACCAGACGAGAGACATAATACATCAGCAGAGTCCACAGGCAAGGAGTTCAGCAGCAGAAGGAAAGCATTGTTCGAATCATTTCCCACCCGCGGTCAAGACTCCGGATTTCAAGTTAACCGACAGACAGCCAGCCAGGGCACTGATAACGATGTAACGAGCACCACCACACGGCCGACGACACACGATGCAATCTCGTAATGCACGCACTTCGTTTCCTTCAGGAGCTAGCACATGCTGAAGTATCTACATGTGTACTTTTACACGTATTCAGTTCAGTCAGTGTTGCTGTCCAATGCTAGCGCCTTCTGGTCCTCCGTTGCGCGACAGTATCGGCGACTGCTTGAGAACCCCGTTGGTTCGCGATGTTTCATCCCACATTCAGCCCTTGTCCTATCTATACCTTTGGTGGTCTCTGTGGGGGCCATCGCGAAGGGTTCGTGTGCCGTCTGCGAGCACGTCCATGCCCCTGGGTCCTCCCGCATTCAGCTTCGCACACTGGAGAGGTTGAGGCGAAAGTGAAAGCTCAAGATCGCGCTCACCTCATCGCATTCCCTGCAGTTGCTTCAACCAGATCTTAGAGCCTCATCCGGGGAAGTCAGTCAGCTGCAACGCTGTGTCCTAGCCGCCGTGTCGATCTCTTTGACAGGTTCCCGAGCGTATTTTCGCCCAGTTTCCTGATGTTCAGCCCGGCTGTTACACAGACGGAGCCTCTGTCTCTGTGTCGGACCCTCGGACACCATGTGTGCCTTGGCATATCGAATCGTTCGATTCGTCTGCAATGGGCACAATCTGTGCGTGGGAGGATGAACAGAGCTTGCCCATTGGCCGCCTGAGCCCTCGCCCATCATGCACTCCTGATATCTGGGGGAACCACCTTGGGAGTCGATATCCGAAGAACGTCTCCTGTGTATACGCAGCCGTGTGTGCCGCAGACTCATGCTTTCCATCCCTTATCTATGGCCATTCTCGACACTCTGTCGTCTCATGTCGGACTCTCAGAACAGGGCGTTTGGCAGACGAACGTCTCTACTACGTACTGTACGTGATATATCCTCAGCCTTACGCCCTTCGGGACGATCATGTTCTGAAGAAACGTGCCAAGGCGCCAAGTTTGGCCACGGCTTACGGTTATCGGATTTGAACGGACGATCCGTTTCCTTACCTGCAGTCACTCACCTTCACACCTTGCAGGCTTGCACTACCGTGCAAGGGACGGCACCCAGTGAAGCCAGGGACCCCCATCTCAGGTCCGTTTTGGGTCTGGTCGCTTCCTTATCTTACATCTCCACCCATCCTTCTTGTCTAGGACGCCTTGGCATTGACGGGGTTCGTCTCGGGTCGACCATGTAAGTGCATACCAGCCTGAGAGAATGTCGGCTCCAAGGGTGCCTTCACCTGGGATGGGACATCTCGGGTCCGTTGCGGAGCTTGCCCTCTGGCTGGGATGACTTTATTTATATTAATCGCTGATCCTCTCCTGGTGGTTCCATCCCGGCCTTCCTCTGTGTTCCCATCTCGCGCTTCTCCCATATCACGACTTCGCGGCAAGCGTTACCAGTCGTTGGACGTCAACCCGAGGACTCACTTCGAACTACAACAACACCACCCTCGACTACAGCTGCTTGCTCGATACTCGGGCCTTCCATCACCATGTCGGCCGGCCCCCTTGAGGTGTACAATGGCACGAGCGGCGTCGCCAACACTGGCGGCGACTCGTTGACCGAGGACCTCAACATCTACTACAGTGTACGCCTCGCCTGCTCTCGTGTTCACTGAACCAGCCGTCTGTCACGTGGGCACCGTGTAACTAACCTGGCTCTCTATCTCTAGAGCGGCGACTTTGCGTGGATCATGACCTCGTCGGCACTCGTACTGCTCATGGTTCCCGGCGTCGGCTTCTTCTACAGTGGTCTTGCCCGGCGCAAGTCGGCATTGTCGCTGATATACCTCTCGATGATGTCTATAGCTGTCGTCGGCTTTCAATGGTTCTTCTGGGGTTACTCCCTGGCCTTCTCACACACCGGGAGCTCCTTCATTGGCGACCTCAGCAACTTTGGTCTCATGAAGGTCCTCGGCCAGCCCAGCGTGGGCAGCTCCAAGATCCCGGATCTCCTCTTCTGCCTGTACCAGGGCATGTTTGCTGCCATTACGTATGTCTGCCCTGCAGTGTCCCGGCAATCTACCATACTGACTACCCCATAGTCCCGCACTCGCTATTGGTGCTGCCGCAGACCGTGGTCGCATGTTGCCAGCCTTGGTCTTCATCTTCATCTGGGCCACCATTGTCTACGACCCGATCGCCTACTGGACCTGGAACGCAAACGGCTGGTCCTTCAAGATGGGTGGCCTTGACTTTGCCGGTGGCACGCCCGTGCATATCAGCTCCGGTGCCGCCGCCCTGGCGTACTCGCTCATGCTCGGAAAGCGGACTGGATACAACAAGGTCAACGGTCTCCCGTATCGGCCTCACAACGTCACCCACGTCGTCCTTGGCACCGTGTTCCTCTGGGTCGGCTGGTTTGGCTTCAACGGCGGTAGTGCTCTCGCCGCCAACCTGCGTGCCGTCATGGCCTGCATTGTCACCCACATCTCCGCCTCCGTCGGCGGTTTCACCTGGTGCCTCCTCGATTACCGCCTTGAGAAGAAGTGGAGCACTGTCGGCTTCTGCTCTGGTGTCATCGCCGGTCTCGTTGCCATCACCCCGGCATCTGGTTACGTCCCGGCCTGGTCTGCCGTCATCTTCGGTGTGGTTGGCGCCGTCACGTGCAATTTTGCAACCAAGCTCAAGTTTGTGCTCGGGATTGACGATGCTCTCGATATCTTTGCGGAGCACGCTGTCGGCGGTATCGTCGGCAACCTGCTGACCGCCTTCTTTGCAGCGTAAGACTCTCTTCTTGGCGACACATCTGGTGCAACGTTATGCTGACTTCCCTTTCTTCCAGTGACTACATTGCACATCTTGATGGTGCCACCGAAATCGCCGGAGGCTGGTTGAACCACCACTGGGTCCAGCTCGGCTACCAGCTGGCCGATTCCGTCGCCGGATTCTCCTACTCCTTCGTTATGACCTGTCTTATCCTTTTCCTGATGAACCTCGTTCCGGGCTTGTCGCTGCGGGCCTCGGCTGAGGAGGAGGACGTCGGTCTCGATGATGCGCAACTCGGCGAGTTTGCCTACGATTATGTCGAGCTTAGTCGCCATATCAACGACATCCTTCCTGGCGAAGATCACCCGACCATCAGCTCCCGCGGCAGCGTGAAGCACAGCCCGTCCGACCTTCCCGAGAAACAGGTCTAAACCTCATGATCGGCGCTCTTAGCTACTATGATCTGACTGGAAGAATTCAGCCATCCTGACGGCCTTCGTATAGGCTGGCCGGCATCCGACCATCAAATCATTTGGCAGAGGCTAAAACTGGGGTGAACCAGCATTTCCTTACAGTGATTAGTTAGATACCTATTTGTTTTAAATACTTCCAACTTCTATTCTTCCCATATGCGATACGTCCGTCTCCTCTACTTCCTCTTTTGTGTCAAGTTACCGTTCCGTGCGGAGCTGCTCTCCGTCTCGTCTGACAGGATCCATCTTCGGTCGACCGCATGTGTACGTTCTGGACTTAGACCGGGCGTGCTCCGACGCTTCGAAATATTTCTGCCACGACTTCGCAGCTCCACCGTCATCTTTAAACGCCTTGTGCCTCTTCCAAATCATCTTCGCCAATCGCCGGTCGCCGGCGCCCATCATACTTTATACTTCATACCGCCGACGGACTTCAAACCGTAACCAATCGCCGTAGTCGACGCGGAACGATTGTAGCTGACCACATTGGATGTCGGCTTTGTCACAATCGACTTGACAAGTCGAGTCATATTATATCTGGTCCAGGGGTCCAGGTCTCTCCACGTGCTTATTAAAAGACAGCTAGCGCTGATGTTCGTCATGGCCAGGCGGTCTCTGCTAACTGGGGAGCTTACCTTCTAGACGTTCTATTCTTACCAGATGCAGGCGTCGATGCCGATTCCTCTGCTTCCTTCATGCTGGGTACAAAACTGTGCAGAGTGCTTGGCATTCAGTCGACGCGGCTCCGCCGGTGCAGAATCGATGACCCATAGCAAAAACTCTGAACTGGGGCGGTTGCTCGTCCCATACGCAAGTGAGAAAGGCCCGGCCCAGAAACTTGGATACGGACTCGTTTTCTCCATAGCAATCCACGGTCTCGTGGCGCAATGGTAGCGCGTAGCTTTCCGGTACATCAAACACACCATTCTAGCTGAGGCTCTCGGTTCGAGTCCGGGCGGGATCGATTGTTTATCCTTTTGCCATCTTTTTTTCCCCCTTTCTTCATTTCTTTTTCATCCTTTTGCATGCTCACTGTCACATTTCCTCGTAAGGTTAGGGGCCTTTCGTCATTCAGTGAAGAAGACCTCGATGCTTTGTTTCTCGACGAATGCAGTGTGGATCGTAGGTAGCCTATGTCGTGCGTATGTCTTGGAGTTGTTCTCCGAGAAAATGGGGTAACCCGGATCTCGTTTCGCGGAACGCCTTTATGCACCCGGCGGCGTAGTCATAGACTGCACTTCCAAGGAATGGACGAAGCATATAAATGCAGAGATGTCTCGAATGGAGGTGCATGGCCATACCCATGTTGTTATACCAGGATCATCTGCTGCCTACTACCCCTACAAAGCCCAGTCCGCTGCACCTTACCTTGATTGCCCAGTTCGTCAACAGCACCGACACCCAACCCTTGTGGCTATAATCTCGACATCATGTCGTCCAAGTTCGACTTCTCGGGCAAGGTCGTTGTCATCACCGGTGCCGCTTCAGGCATTGGTCGTGAGACAGCCAAGCTCCTCGCATCGACAGGCGCACGGTTGTCGCTCGCCGATTTCCAGGAGGCTGCCCTCAAGGAGGTTGTGTCGGAGATCTCATTGCAGTATGGGGAAGACACGGTCACCCATGCCCTCGTCGACGTGCGGGATCGGGCGTCAGTGGAGTCGTGGATCGCCGCCACGGTCAAGACATTCGGGGCGCCCATCGACGGCGTTGCCAACCTCGCCGGTGTGATTGGCAAGGAGATCAACGTTGCGCCCATATGGGAGGTCAGCGACGAGGACTGGGAGTTCGTGGTGGGTATCAATCTCAAGGGCGTCTTCAACTGCCTGCGCGCGGCGATTCCGCACATGCGCGATGGCGGATCCATTGTCAACGCCGCCTCCATCGCCGGCCTGATTGGATTCCGCAAGAATGCCGCATATGTCGCCAGCAAGCACGGCGTCGCCGGCCTGACGAGAAGCGCAGCGAAGGACCTCGGGAGCCGGAACATCCGCATCAACGCCATCTGCCCGTAAGTTCAATACCACCTTAAAGAGCGGCGAACTAGCACTTGTGCTATGCCACATGTATCCATACTGACCTATACAGTGGTGCCATTGATACGCCGATGTTGAGGAAGAGTAGCAACACAGGAGAGGGCCACGGTGTCGGCTATGACTACGTCGCTTTGAACCGGCCAGGACGGGCAGATGAGTTACCCCCACTGATCGCGTTCTTGCTCAGTGATGGCAGCAGCTACATGACGGGAACCATGCAGAGCATCGACGGAGGTTGGTATTGCTAAGTCGGGCAAATAGATGTACTCTACATATATCATAGTGAGTAAGAAGAGATACACACTTCGTCAAAATGTCCTGTCTCGCGTGGAGTGTAGCACACGAAGAGTGTTTGAGCCAGAGTCCAACGTTGGCCTCCAACATCGTATCACCTTTGCGCTTGGGCAAAAGGAAGGTTATGCCCTATCACTAGTCTTTTCAGTGTTATTGCAGTTAGGGGACTCTCGGTTCTCCATTATGAGGAAATTGCACCTGCATCTTAGACCCTAGTATGCTTGTTGTCTAAGAACCTAGTGAAGTCAAGTCAACCTGGTGTATAACTTGAGAGACAGACCTGTATCGACTCAACCCGAATTCGCATATAGGAAACGACATGGGGAAGTGCTATTTTGAAACTTGTCGTTCGAGCGCCACAAGGTAGAAGAAGGACCATCTGCAAACAGCCTGAGTCGTGAGCACCCGGGACAAGCCCTGCCGCTTTGCGCAATAAACGAGACCGGGGTGACGGGTATGCTCCTATGTCTCGACAGTTGGGGAAGTCCGGCCAGTAGACCAGCTCCCAAGGCCTAAATGGCGGGTCGGTTGTCAAATGCATTGCATATCCGGGCCGTAAATACAGAACAAATCTCTATCAGAAGTTGATACATAAGGGAAGATCCTCCAAAGCCGCCACACTGCACTCCGTTTGGCCAATCTGCTTCCAACTCACACGCTCAGCTCAACGCACTGAACCACCAACCCCCCATCCTCAACCGGCCATGAATCTCAATGCTCATATCAGCCTTCTGCTCTCACTGCTTTTCCTGTGCCCCGGCGAGGCCCTTCCACAGGACCAAGGTTCGGGACCAGTCATCAGCCCTACAGTCGAGTCCATGACCATGATAGGGTCCGGGTGTCCTCTTGGTACTGGAGGCATCGTCCGAGAAATCCGTAACAACACCCCCGTGTTTTTGTTCAGCGAATGGGGTCTCGACCTGGCCGAGGCCGAGCCAGGCGCGACGGTCGTCTCCAAGTTCTGTTCCGAGGTGATAGAACTAGGCAATGGACCCCCGGGATACCAAGTCCGGATCGCCACCGTGTCGGTAGGCGGGTGGGCTGAACTGGACGGCAGCACTCGTTTGGTGGTGGATGTCGAGACAAAGCTAGCCGGCGTGCATGCTTCTGTGAGTCTTCCTAGTCAGGTTCCGTGTTCCTTCAGGACCGCTGACCCCATGAGCCGTAGTCCAATAACATCACCATCGTCTCGGATGATCTAGTCGACAACAGCTTCAGCACTGATCTCGTCACTGAGCCCGCGAATTGGTCTTTGTGCGTTAACGAGACCGGCAAAGTTCCACGCATCGAGATTAGGACCTCTGTTGCGCTCATTGGAACCCAGCTGAACGGTGGCCTTATGTCGTCTGGAGTCGTTGGTGGGCAGAAGACAGACCTGAAGAAGGCGCTAAGCTTGCACTTTGAGCCGGCATGGAGACCTTGTCAGCTGTGAGATCTACAGGGTCAGGTCTGGCAAGCGTTTCCGACGATTACCAACCACGGTGGTGGCACCCGAATGTCCGTGTATGAGATCCATAAGCTTTTTGACGGGAAGTCGTGGAGATATTGGAACTTCGTTGAAAAGGAGGCTTGGGACGCTCAACTGCGTGCCGTGCTCATCTTATGGCGGCGGTCCGAAGGGGTCGTGAGGCGCATTATAGAAACTGATGTAGTCTCTCTGCAACGACTCGGTTGGCTTCCACGGTGAAGACATTTTAGTCAAACGGTCCCAGTGGTTTGTGAGGAGTGTTTTTGCTTGGTCGTGGAATGTTCTGGTACTCGAGTTGATTTGGATTCTTTCCCGGGCATCGAGGCGATACTCGTCATTGGGGTCCTTCCCCTGTTGGACGGCCACCAGCTGCTTGAGCTCTTCGACCCAAGTCTTATAAAGACTTCTAGCCGTCTCAAAATCATTCAGTATCCTTCGGCTCTGCGCTTGGACCATTCGCCCAGTGCCGTTTGCTGGTTGTAGCCCTTGCTTGTAAGCGCAGTCCAACGCATAGATGAAACGGTCAATGATGCGAATCCAGTCTTGGGCTGGCTGCAAGCCCCATCTATCGGCGGCCGTAACTATCACAGAGCCCCGTCAGTATAATTTTGCGGCCGTATTGCACGAACTGTGAAGCAGAGGTTGCTTACCTATCCACTGCGCAGTATCGTAGTCCAACGAGTAGATCTCTTCGAAAAGCCTCCGAAACACCGCTGACCTCTGTGTCCCATGCGGCCCGTCTGGCTGCCACACTCTAAAGTACTTGGAAGTGCCAACTACAAGGTCATCTCGGAGTGAGCCGGAATGGGCAAGAGCTGTGCAGAGGTCGTATCGGGCTCTAAGTTCCTTGAATTCGCCATATTTGCTCAAGTCAATCTTGAAGCTGTCTTTCTCTTTTCCCTTCTCTTTTCCCTTCTCTTGTCTCTTCCCTTGTCCCTTCTCTTGTCCCTTCCCTTTTCCCTGCTTCTGGCTTTCATGACCGCTGGCCGGAATGAGCCCAATGTTGGTAGCCATCTGCCACATCGTCCTGTAGCGAGTGTGAAGGTTCTTGGCCATGAGAACCATGATATGCGGGTAATTCTTGATGCCGAGATCCAGAAGCTCCGCATCCGCTTCCGGGGACGCTTGAACTCCGTATTGCCTCTGCCGTTTCTCTGCCTCGGTCCTGTTATTCTCGTGACGAAGGTCATCTCTATGCTTCTGTAGTTCCTCAAAGTCGTCCTGAATACGTGTCAGCACCTGGCCTGCGAACTCGTTTCCAAAAAAATAATCCCGAGGTTCTTCGTTTGAGACCATGTCGAAGGCACGGGCGCCGGGCACCTCGATGACTGCGTTCTCGTCAAGAGCTTCAGAGAGCATGTTGTGAATATGGTTCAGAAGACCACCGCGAGTTCTGCCGCGAGTTCCGCCGCGAGTTCCGCCGTGATATCTATCGCAGTCGCTCTCGGAGAACTCGTTCTCGGTTACAATCATAAACCGTCGATTGTGAATATTGAGTTCCGGACGCCAGCGGAAATTGCTCCCGTAAACTTGCGGTGCCCGTATTTCTCGTCGTCGTGGTGGAGCATTGCTGTGATCTTGAGACTGGTCGCCATTGTTGTCTGTCTGACCGTCCGTTCTGTCGCCCCATTTACTCATCTGAGGAGTGTCGCCAGCTGACTCGTGTGATTGCGCATCTCCATTTCCCTCCTGCATCGGGTCGTCAAGATCCATGGTATCGTTTGGAGGATCTCGGCCTGGCGGCGTTGACCGAACTGTGAGGTTTGAAGTCGTTGAGGCGCTTGCTCCTTTGGGAGGTTGTGCCCATCTTGGTGGTGGTCTGGGTTTTGAGGGAGACGTCTTCTGAACTCTGCCCACATCTCTCGGAATTTCTGGTAGAGGTCCAGCTGTTGCCCGCCATGGGCCATTCATTCCCTTCTGTTTCGTCGACTTGTCACTCTCCTGATCGATTTTGGTGGTATTTTTCCTTGGCGCCATGACGCTGACCAAAAGATAACAGCTTGAGTTTATGTGGTTATGTGACTTCAGTGCTTGCTGCTGGCTGTGAAACTTGAGAGCTGTAGTTGCGAACGGTAAAACGGAAGACAGGATACAATCATCATGGTCCTCTTCTCCTTTTGGGAAGTCCTATAAGCATGTTTATCAAGGTGCGAGCGAATGGCGCTGTTG